TATGTGCCGTGTCTCTAAAATTTAAAATATACAAATATATATATATATATATATATATTAAAAATAACAATAGTATCAACTTAATATGTTACTTACAAGGATTAAAATGTGAATAGCTGAACAAGTCTTGGGTACATAATAAGCACTCAAGACATGGCAGTTCCATCATTCATTATGAGTCTCCACCACGTCCAGAGACCACATACAAAACATTCATGAAATTAAAGTGAACAGGGCAGGCAAAATGAGAATTTAGGAACTTTCAGTCCAAGGAATTTTGATACTTACTATTGAACCAGCTGCATTCAGGGAACCCGCCAGCTGATAATTAACTACTGACAACATCCAACACTTCCGGAATACACGATACAACTCTTTGGCTAATAGCTCGGCAGAATTGAAGTCTGGCTCATAAGTGACACTAAAATGTAAGAGATGCAAAAACTGAAAAATTATATTTATAAGGAGAATGTTCAGGGGTTTGCTCAGGTTTTCAACTGTTTTCCCACCCCTAGAATTCAGAAGAGACTATTGTGTAAGACTATGTATCCTGCACTCACCACATATCTTACTAATTTAACACAATCATTTCTCTATGCTCAATAAAAATAATATCTTTTATTGATTGCACATACTAAGACTAGAAGGTATGGTGAAAAGAGAATTGGATTTAGAGTCAAAAGACTGGAGTTCAAGTCCTCCTCCTGCTCTTTAACAGTGCCTCAGGCACATCCTGTATGAGTCCGTTTCTAGGTCTATAAAATTGGGTTAAAAAAACAGGGGCCAGCAGGTGGCATGGTGATTAAGGCACAGGACTCCCACATGGCTGACCACAGTTCAAGTCCTGGACCCGGTGGCTTGAAAATCATATTGGGTATTTGTACATGCATGCCCCAAGTCCCAGGAGGGGAGTGAAGAAGAAGAGATTGTGACATGGCTGTTCCCCCTGACGGGTGATTTCTCACTTTCCTCCATTGTCTCTGTCTCTCTTTGGTGAGTGCGAGCATGCACTTATGGCAAAAAAAAAATACATACACACATGCATAAATACATACACAAAACTTGCCCAGCATTTCCATGAGGGTTAAATGAGAATTTATACAAAAGCCTTTTGAAGTCTATAAAACACCTTGTAGAAACTTCGAGGTAACTTTCATTTCTAGGTGGTAATTCTCTTGCTTTATTAGAATGAATCATTCAAACTGGATAAGTTTGGCCCAACACGTCAGAGGTGTGCTATTCACACCACTCAGAGGTGACAGCTCAGGGGTCTATGTTCAGGACAGATACCTCTTAGAGGAACTGCAGGAACACCTACAGGTTTCTGTAATATCGTTAAACTCGCCAAACCCTGTGGGAAAGTGAAAAGAAGAGTGGTGAGGTCTCAGACTGTTTCACTTAGTCACTCAATTTTATGAGAAGAACACAAAATTAGCTCCTGACTAGCCAGCACATCTGTACTTTAGGTTCTTTGAGTTTCTATTATGAGACAACAGATAATGACCCAAGATAGGATTTCATCCAAAATTTCACCAGTATATAACTGAGAGGCCAAAGAGATACTGGATTACAATAACTATCAGGTTTTTTTTTTTTTTCTCAATTCTATGAATGTGATGAGAGATTAGCTACTAAGACATTTGAAACAAGAACAGGTACTGGTTTTGTGGCACGATGGTAATGTGTTGCTCTACAGAAGCGAAATCCCATGTGGTAACTCTGGTCGAAATCCCCTGCCTCGTCAACCTGAAACACACCAGAGACATAGGTGGAGTGCTCAGGATCCCACAGGAGGACTGGAGGAAGAGGATAGCAGTGTGGCCAGACCTTACGGAAGGTGCTTTTCCCTCTTTCTCTCCCTCCATCTCTCTCCTTCTTATGCACATGTGCACACACTTTATCATGAATAAAGAAAAAAACTTAAAAAACAAGTAGTAAAAAAGAATTTTTTTTTTTATATTGATGACATACTCTGATCTCGGGAGAAGTTTCTTTGAAATGCCACTGTAACGTGGTATTGTGTGTGATGCCATCAGCATGTGTGTGTGGAGGGGGTGAGGGAGGGAGGCAGTCATATTCAGTGAATTTCCAAATCTTACCTAAATTAACAAATTCAAAGAAGTCGTATTTGCAGGCCCCTTTCACCACAGGAGAGTCAGTAGGTGTTTCAGCCATTGGGCTGACCTGCAACACAGCATAACCTAGAAAATGAAAAGAAAGCGGGTTGTCACCCACAAGAAGAAAATGAAAAACTGCACAAGTGCAACACCCAACTACATAAAAATTGGGTAATGAGATGGGATAAAAGTTTATGTTAAAAGAATTAAATATTTAAGCTTCATTTGCTAAAAAATGTGCAGCAAGCTATTTTTGTGTTTCTTGTGTTTTTTTGTTTTGTTTTTATAGTTTTTTGCCTTAGGGCATGCACAGTCACCAGAGAGAGAGAGACAGAGACAGTGAGAAGAAAAGTGAGGAATCACTCCCAAGGGGGATGGCCATGCTGCAATCCCTTTTCTCCCATTCGTCTCCCAGGATCTTGGGCGTGTAGGCATACATACCTGGTGTGATTTTCAAGCCACCAGGTGTGGGACTCGAACAACAGTGGGTCATGTGGGAGCCCAGTGCTGTAACTGCTACACTATCTGGTGGCCCCATTGTGCTTTGTTAGTTAGAAATATTTTTTCTGTGTTCATGATATAGCTTGTACGTGCACATGTGAGAGAAAGAGAGAAAGAGAGACATTAGCACCCTCCATGGGTCTGGTCAATCTCCATGCTCTAGATCGTCAGACACTGGGCATTTATGCACGTGCCTGGTGCGTTAGGCTGTCCAGATGTGTCCTTACAGGTACTGTGATTAAGTGAAACAGACTGATGAGAAGATGGGGAGTATTAGGACTTAATCGTAGTGAGACTGCTTTTAGGTATATATATATATATATCTCCATAATACAAATTTCCATAACACAAAGTTTTAAAAAAATGAAAGGATAGAAAAACAATCTCAGCTTTCCAGTGAGACAAAAGAGTACAGGAGACATAAATATTTTCCTGGATTGAAGTGTCCCCCCAAAACTTCATGTTCACCTGGAACCTGTGAGTGTGACCGTCTTTGTAAAGAGGGTCTCTGCAGATGTATCAGGTTAAAATGAGATCATAATGGATTAGGATGGGGTCTAAGTCCAACAAAACCAGGGTCATATAATGAGGAAAATTAGGAGACAAAGTAATAAAGATGCCATGTGAACACAGATGGGACTGATGTGTCTACAAGCCCAGGGATAGTAAAAAATGACTACACCCACCAAAAGCTGGAAGAGAAGCATGGAAGAGATTGTTCCTCAGAACTATCAAAGGAAATCAACTCTTAACAACAATTTGATTTCTAATTTCTGGTCTCCACAACTGTGAGAGGGTAAATGTTTGTTTATGTCACTCATTTCATACAGTTTTGCTACAACACTCCTAGGAAACTATACACTGTCTAGTTTAACTCAAGTCTATGGCACAACATAAGGAAATGGCAGGAGATGTCTGTTAGAAAAGCAGGAAGATCTAGATCCTACAAGATTAAAAATCCCAGGACAAAATATGGACTAAATTAAAGCCATTTTAAAAGATGAGAAGCTGGGAAGAAAGGGTGGCATTTGGTTAAGGCACTGGACTCCCATGTGGTGGACTGGAGTTCGGATACCTGACCTGGTGGCTTGAAACTCATGCCAGGTACGTGTGTGTGTGTGCGCCCAAAATCCCAAGAGGAAAATAGAGGAGATGGAATAGATGGAATTGTGGCACAGTCATATCCCAAGGGTTGATTTCTCACTTTCTATCTCTTTATTTCTCTGGTGAGTACATGCCCCTATAGAAAAAAAAATATCTTAAAAAAAAGGAGAGAGAGAGAGAAGTTATGCTCTAACAAGACAGATGTTTGCAGCATCAGCTTGAAGAAAGAAGCTGTAAGTAAAGAGAGAAATTAAAGGTAGGGAATCTGTGTGGGGCCCTAAATGCAGTTCTTACACAATGACTAGCCAGGTACTAAAAAAAAACATATAGGCAGAGAGCTGTTATTAAGAAGTCAGTACTGATTTGTCCACTAACTAGAAACAGTGGACAGGGGCCCAGGAATATGGAAGAAGAAAGAGTTAAAGATAAAGCTCAGTGTTATGGTTTGTTACCTGTTATGTATGAATGTGTTCCCTAAAAACTCACATGTTGATAATTTGCTTACAATAGGACTAAGAGAATGAAAACATCAACTGACTAGCATATTGAAGGTAGGGCTTTTGGAAGAAGAATAGAATTAAGGTCAGCAGTGTGGTGTCTTCCTAATTTACTCCTGGTGGGTGACAAGGAAAGGGAATAAGACTAAAGACACACACGTGAGCTCTTATCCCCCATCATGTTGTAATGGAGCCAACAATTCTCACCAGATGTGTTTTCTGGACCGTGGATCTCCAGAGTGTGAGCAAAATAAACCTTTATTACTATAAATTACTCAGACTTGGGTGTTTTCTGTTATTAGCAACTGCCTTAGTCTGTTATTGCACTGCTAAGAGAAATAACCTGAGACTTGGTGAATTTATAAAATTTGCAGATTGGGGCCAGTGGGTGGTGTGCTTCTTGGGGTGTCAGACTCCGGCATAAACAACTGTAGCTTGAGTCCTGGACCTGGGGGCTTGGGAACCATGCCTGGCACATGTGTGTGTCCAAAATTCTGAGAGAAGAAAGGAAGAGAGGGGATTAAAGCATGGATGTCCCCATGGGTGGTGATTCTCACTTTCCATCTCTGTCTGTCTTTCTCTGGCAGGCACACACACCCTATGGCATAAAGCAAGAAGGGAAAAAAAAGTAGAGGTTTAATGACTCACAGTTCTAGTGGCAGAAAAGTCCATAGGTATTACAAATAGCTGAAGACAGAGACAGAACTTTGAATAGTGTGTGGCATGGCTTATATCCATATGACCTTCTCCCTGCACTGTTACTCTCATTTCCTCTTCTTATAAACCCATCAGAGCTCAATCATGAAGTTCACCCTAACCATGAGTACCACCCTCATCATCTAATCACTAATATCTTGTCAAATACCCCCCTCATTCCACCACCATGATTAGATTAAGTTTTAATTGTATTAATCCTGTTACAATGTCTAAAAGACATGAATTTGACAGGGAATGTATTAAAATGACGGCAGCAACAGAATGGACTAGAACAGCATTAAAATATGAGTCACTTTTTTTTTCCTCACATCCTTCTTCTCCCTATTGGTAGCTTCAAAGGGGATGATCATTGTTACGGTTTAGGTGATGGTTTCATGTTTTGGAATTTTCTGTCTGGAAGTGGTGAGGCTTAGTGGGCAGTGATTGGATCATGCAGGCAACACTCTCATGAATAGATAAATGATGTTTCTAGAGACCAAATGAATTCTAGTTCTCATGAAAAGAGGTTAGTTCTCATGAGAGTTGCTTATTATAGAAGAGAGATGCCTGCAGCTCACTCGCTTTCTCTCTCCCTCTCCCCCTCTCTTTTTTTCTCCTCTCTTTTCTGCAACTGTCTGCCAATCTTCTGTACTTCTGTTTGCTATGTTGTAACCTTATTTTCTTTGTAAATAATCCAGTCTCAGGTATTTCTGTTATCAATGCAAAAACAGACTAAGACAATCATCCATATCACATTCCCTAGTTTTTCTGGCCACAGCTAACTGACCAGTTGTGGACGGTCAACCAAAGCAGGCGTGCTCCCCTGAAAAGCTGGACTGAGAGTCCCACAACACTGAGTTGTTGAACTGTAAGGAACTCCTTTAGCACCCAGGCAACAGGCAGAGCTAGAACCAAATGTCAGGACTGTATAGGAGAAGTCAGGCTACAGAAAAAAGAGGATGAAACAATTACTCAAAGAGAAGTAACAAAGCCTCAGAAATGACTGATGCCAGACTGTGTCTGTGCTGGAATGTTCTAACGGGACCCAGATTCATTTCCCATCACTAGGTTTACTGAAAATGTTTTACATATTTTCAATAAATCTCTTCTAATTTAAACCAGTTAGTACATTCAACAGATATTACTTGTACATGCCTATTTTTTTTTCTTGTCAGGAATTGTGCTATGTGTGTATCATATGGAGTAAGTTCTTCCCTTGTTATTGAATATTCTCAATTAAAATATGAGATAAATGGGGCCAGCAGGTGATGTGGTTAAGGTACTGGATCTCACATGGTTGACCATGAGGTCTGAGTTCTAGACCCAGTGGCTTGGAAACAAACAAACGAACGAACAAAAACAAAAACAAAAACAAAAACAAAAAAACCACCAGGTGTGTGTGTGTGTGTCCAAAATCCTGAGAAGAGAATGGAGAAGAAACAACTGTGGTGTGGCCATCCCCACCCAGGGGTGATTTCTCACTTTCTTTCTTTTTCTGTCTCTCTGCAGAGAGTGCATGCATTCTATAGCAGAAAATTAAAATAATAAAGAAAGATACAAGGTAAAGAAAGTCAAAAAGAGAAACAAGCTTTATTTTATCTTTTTTTTTCAGAGACAGAGTCTACCTATGTCATTGTACAGGCTGGTTTCGAAGTTGCAATCCTCCTGCCTCAGTCTCGTGAGTAGCTATAATTACTAATGTGTGCCACAGCACCCATCTAAACAATCTTTAGTTCCTAATCTTTTGCTTTTGTTTTTGCTTTTTTTTTTCCTTTCAAAAGAAAGGAATTGTGAGGGAGTGATAGAGAGATGATTAGTTTAAACATATTAAGTTAGAGTTAATTATGTCTACGGTCAGGTTGCAGATATGACTGTACCAGCAATGAGAAAAATTAAATGTTTTAAGTAATCCAGAATGAAGTATTAAGTTAGAGTTTTTGGATGCCAAGCAGGCGAGTATGTTTGACAAGTCCCAGTAGTGTAGAACAAATACTTAGACAAGAATTATGAGAAGACAAAGACAAATTCAGGAGACATCAATGAGAGGGAATAGCTGAAGCTGATGTTGTAAATAAAATCTGCCAGGAAGTGAACCCAGATGGTTCCTGATTTATGGTGGTTCATCTTACAATTTTGCGACTATGATGGTGGGAAAGCAATGTGTATTCAGTAGAAACTATATTTGAGTACCTATATAAACATTTTGCTTCTCATTTTCAGAACAATAATCAACAAATTACATGAACTATTCAACACTTTATTATAAAATAGGGTGTGTGCTAAATAATTTTGCCCACCTGTAGGCTAACATAAATGGTTTGACCACATTTAAGGTTAAGTCAGGTTAACTTACTGTGTTCAGTTGGCTAATTGTATTAAGTGCATTTTGACTTACAATATTTTTTATGTACAATGGGTTTATTGATGTATAAACCCACTAAAAGTCAAGGAGCATCTGAATAGACAGAAATAAAAAAGTAGATAGGACAGGAGGCAGGACTCAGATTTAGGAACTGGTGAGAAAGTGGCAAACCCTAGTGTCAGTTCAAGTGCCCTTCTCTGGGCCTCAGAATGAGTCAAGTTGCTCCTACTTGGTGTCATGCTGCTCTGGGGCATTGTGCCTGTTCTACAAGTTACCCTACACTGCGTCCTTGACCTCTGCTCCAGCACCTAAGCTTGAAGGAAGAAGCATTCCTATGTATTGTTGATTTCCCAGCATCCAGCACATTGCAGGCTTTCTGCTTGTTGAATGACTGAAGATACTACTTGGAAAAGGGAAAAAATATGTAGAGCAAACAGGAGAATACTGTGTAATGAAAAAAAAGAGGGGGAGGAGGGGTGATATCAGCAACTGCAAAGCATAAAAATAGGATGAAGCTCAAGAAAATAAACTAAAACAAACACTGACAACTGGATGGCATCCCAAGCCAAAATATCATAAACAGTGAGGATTATATAGGTTGCTCAAGACATTTTAGACAAAGGATTTAAAAATATACTTCAGGATTTGACAGAGAAGAAGAAATTTATGTGGAGAATGCAGCATGAAACTCTCCTATACTTACCTTCATAGCCACTGTCTGAAGAAGTGGATGATCCAGATTCTTGCTTTATGTTGGTATATAAGGTCACGTCAGAGTCAACTTGATCATTCCCAGCTGATCCACTGGCCTCTTCTTTACTCCAACTCTCTGTCTGCTGTTGAGTCAGGATGTTACACTTCATTTTCTCCATTGCTGATATAATCATATCTGCAACATAAAAGTGAGCATTTTCCTGCAGAAAAAGAAAACAAATTAAAATATGCCCAAACATAACCAACTTCTTTTTTCTTTTTTACATAAAGGAGTGTATGTAGTATATCACATTTGAAAAATTATAAAGTTCAGCCAGGCTTGTGGTACAGTGCTTACGTGTAAGGAAGCTGGAGCCCACATGGTCTACAGGGGTTAAAGTGGCAGTATTGGTGGCTTATAAAGCACATTGAGCATCTGCCCAGGTTCTGGACAGGATGAGAATTAGAGGGAAAAGGACTGTGGTGTGACCAGGCTCTACTGAAGGGTCCTCTCTCTTTTTAAAAATTTGCTGTAGGGTTTGTGTCTATTGCCAGGCAGGGAGATAGAAAGAGAGAGAGAAAGTAACAAAGCACTCTTGAGGAGGATGGCCTCCATTTCCCTCTCAGGGTTTTGGGCAGGCACACACAAGTGTCTGATATGTATTTCAAGCCACTGGATCCAGGGCTTAAACTATTTAGTCAGCCATGTGGGTTCTAGCCACCTTAACCACCATGCCACACACTGGGCCTCTCTCTCTCTCTCTCTCTCTTTTTCTGCCCATGAGTACACATGTGCTGTCTGTCATAAAAAAGGAAAAAAAAAGGTTTATTTAATTATCATATGACTTGTGACACATACCATTCAGAGACATAGATTTAGCCTTCTCTAATGAACAGATAACCCAAGTTAAATTTCTTCTTATAGAGACCAGCAGATGGTGTAATGGTTACGTTGCTGGACTCCCACGTAATCGACCGTGGTTTGAGTTTCGGACCCAGTGGCTTAAAATTCAGGATGGATGTGTGTGCGTGCGTGCCCAAGATCCCGAGAGAATGGAGGAGAAGGAATTATGGCATGGCCATCGCCCCTAGGAGCTGATTTCTCACTTTCTGTCTCTCTGTCTCTGTGTGTCTCCTGTGAGTGCACGTGTCCTATAGGAAAAATCTCTCATAAAAAAATTCGTCTTATATAAAACTCTAGGCTGGTGATGGGCCAATGGCAGACATCACTTATCAATGACAGGAAGCTTTTCAGCTGAGTGAACACATTCAGTACCTCAGAAGGAACCCTTTTCAGCTTAGTGGAATCGCCATGTCTCATCAAATCGAAGCTTCCAGATTTAAATCAGAACAGCATTATCTAAGAGATCGAAACTCTCTGTGCTTAACAAAAAGAAGATAGCATTCACCTTTTCTATATCAACAGGCAGCACAAATGCCTCTGGTGAGAAGGAATTCAAAGAAATGCTTCTTCCACCAACTGTAACAGCACCTGCCAATATAGCAAGTTATTAAAATGGAAAAAAGTCAGTTCAAATAGGATCTAAGAAAACAAAATAATTCTAGAGAGCAGCTTTTATATACTTGAAAATAAATGTAATCGATCTTATTAACAGAAGGAAAGATAAAAATTACATGAGCATATCAATACATGTATAAAAAGCATTTGATAAAATACAATATCCCTTCATGATTAAGAATCTTAGCCAAACAGGGAGCAGCAGTTAGCGTAATGGCTATGTTGCTAGACTCCTATGTAGTCTTACTGCAGTTTGAGTCCCGACCCGGTGGCTTAAACTCACGCTGGGCGTGTGTGCGTGTGTGCCCAAGATCCTGAGAGGAGAATGGAGGAGAAAGGATAATGGTGTAACCATCTCCCCTGGGGGTGATTTCTCGCTTTCTGTCTCTCTGTCTCTCTCTGTCTTTCAGGCGAGCTCATGTGCCCTATAGCAAAAACCTCTCCAAAAAAAATAAAAAAGAATCTTAGCAAAACAAGTATAAAAGGTGTACTTCTCAGGTGGCATAGTGGTTAACACACTGGATTCCCATGTGGTCATCAATGGTTTGAATCCCAGACCCAGTGGCTTGAAACTCATACCAGGTACATGTGTATGTATGCCCAAAATCCCAAGAGGAGAAGGGATTGTGGCATGGTTATCCCTCTGAGGGGAGTGATTTCTCACTTTCTGTCTGGGTGTCTCTGACTCTCCAGTGAGTGCATGCAACCCATAGCAAAAGTCTCTAAAAAAAAAAAAATAAAATAGTAACTTATCAACACAATAAAATCCATATGAGACAACTCATAGCTAACATTACTGAATAGCAAAAAGTTGAAAGTTTTCCCACTAGAAACTGGAACAAGACAAGGCTGCCCACTTTTCCCACTCCTTTTCAATATACTACTGGAAGTCCTAGCCACTGCAACCCAACAAGAGAGTAAAATAATAGGCATTTAGATAGGAAAAGAAGTGAAATTATCCCTATTTACAGACAACATGATTATATACATAAAAAATCCAAAAGAATCCATGAAAGAAAAAAAAAAATCCTAGAAGTGATAAATGAATTCAGTAAAGTGGGAGGACACAAAATCAACATACGAAAATCTATAGCATTTTTATACCCTAACATTGAACAGATTGAGGCAGAACTGAAGAAAGTAATCCCATTTACAACAGCGGCAGAAAAATAAATAAAGTTCCTAGAAATGAACCTAACCAAAAAGGTGAAAGACCTCTATAAAGAGAACTATAAAAAACTGGAAGAAGAAACTGAGTGCAACACACACACACACACACACACACAAAATGGAAATCATCCCATGTTCATGGACTGGAAGAACTAATATAATCAAAATATCAATCCTACCCAAGTTAATTTACAAATTTGGTGAAATTCTGATCAAATTACTGGTCATGTTCCTTACATAAATAGAAAAATACAATCATAAAATGTGTCTGGAATCATATAAAGCTCCATATTGCCAAAGCAATACTCTACAAAAAGAATTAAGTAAAAGGCATCTCACTACCCAGCCATGAAATATATTAAAAATCTGTTATAATCAAAACAGCATGGTACTGGCAGAATCATAGACACATAGACCAATGGAACAGAATTTAGAATCCAGAAATAAACCTTAAAACATAGAGCCAACTGATTTTTGACAAAGGGCACAGACAATTTAGTAGGGAAAAGATCTCTTCAGCAAATGGTACTGGAAAAACTGGGTATCTATCTGAATAAAAATGAAACTAGATTCCTGACTCTCGCCACTAACAAAAATAAACTCAAAATGGATCAAATATTGAAATGTAAAGCCTCAAACTATAAAGCTACTTGTGGGGACCAGCAGTTAGTGTAATGGCTATGTTGCTAGACTCCCATGCAGTCACCCGCGGTTCGAGTCCTGGACTTAAAACATGCCGGGCATGAGTGCATGCGTGACCATGATCCTAAGAGGAGAATAAAGGAGAAGGGATTGCGGCATGACCATCCCCCCTGGGGGGTCATTTCTCACTTTCTGTCTCTCTGTCTCTGGAGAGCTCACACGCCCTGTAGCAAAAACCTCTCCAAAAGAGAAAAAAAAAAAAGCTACTGTGGAAAACACAAGAAAAACTTAGAGATACTGGAGTAGGCAAAAATTTCTTACATAAGACCCACAAAGCACAGGCAATCATTTCAAAAATAGACAAATGGAATTATGTCAAGCTAAAAAGTTTCTGCACAGTAGAGAAAATAATATTTAGAGTGAAGAGATACCCCACAGAATGGGAAACAATAGTTGCAAACTATGCTACAGATAAGGGACCAATAACCACAAAACATAGGAAACTCAAGCAGCCCACCTGCAAGAAAATGACTAACCCAATTAAAAAAATGGGCAAATGAACTGAACAGATAACTCTCTAAGACAGACATATGAATGGTCAAAAAGCAAATGAAAATATGTTCAACATTTCTTATCATAAAGGAAACGCAAATCAAAAACACAATGAAATACTACTTAACCCCAGTCAGAATGGCTAAGATAAAAAAAAAGAAATAAAGAATGACAAGTGCTGGTGAGGTTATTGTATTAAGGGGATCCTCCTATACCACTCATGAGAATGTAAATTAGTACAGCCACTAATTTAGAGGAGAACAATATGGAGGTTCTTCAAAAATCTATAAATAGAACTACCACATGACTCAGTAATTCCACCCCTTGGTATTTACTTAAACAATAGCAGAACACTCAGTCAGAATGACACTTACACATTTGTATTTATCTTAGCATTATTCACAATTGCTAAGACATGGAATCAGTCCAAATGCCCCCAAACAAGTGACTGGATAGTAAAATGTGGCATGAATACACTATGGAATACTACTCAGCCATAAAGAAAAATAAGGCCCTGTCATTTGATACAAAGCGGATAAATATAAAAGATTAAATGCTAAGTAAGCTAGACTATGAAAGACAAACATTGTATATCTTCACTCACTATATTCCCAATGTCTATATGCTGGTGCAGAAATTGAATGATTCAAAGATAAAATAATGAAGGCAAGTATAGACATCAGAGACTACATAGGAGGGGTTAGATAGTAAGGGTTTGGAGTGAGGGATTAAGGAATAAAACATTTAACAGACACAAAAACGTAAAGTTCTCTTTTGAAAATGATATATATTGTAATATCTTTGATTTGATAATCATGTACTACATGGGTGCCCTGAAAAACCAAAAACTATATGCTATAAAGGTGTAGACAATAAAATGTAAATAAAAAATTATAAGATATACTAAGACTAAAAACAAAACAAAATAAGAAACCCAACACAATTCTATCATGAATGAGAATGGATGACAGAAGAGGAAAGCCCCTTCTGATGGTAGGTCTTGCAGATATGGCAATCATTTCTATGAGAAGCTATTGGAAGAATTGGGTGGTATCCTCAGGAAGGCCTGGGAGAACCTCTGAAGGGGAAGAGATCAATGAGGCAGAGGGTGGAAAGAGAAATGTATCATGGGAAATATGTAAAGGAGATGGGGAAGGATGGAAAGGAAGAGCTCAGAAATAGGGCCATAACAATATGAAACCACATCTGCAAGTCACTGCAATTGACCCAAAAGTCCCTGTTTGCAGAAGCAATATCCATCTGATAAAAGTCGGCATTGCTTCTCTAAAGTTTTCATTTTCCTGTCAAACACTAGAACTGTTTGCAGAAGCAATATCCATCTGATAAAAATTTCTGAGTTGTGCCAACCTACTGAGAACAAAACACTGCTAGTGTCCTTGTGGTTAAACAGCATTCAGAGTGTCAGAGTTGCGAGTGAGATACTCAAATCCCTTGCTTTAAGATAATGAAAGTGGCTGTTGCTTAGAAAACTTTGGACTCAGGTTCAGAAACCATCTGGGATGGCAAGCTTTTTTTTTTTTTTTTTTTTTTTTTTTTAAGGAGGATTTTGCACTCACTGGAGAGACAGAGAGACAGAAAGTAAGAAATCACTCCCCGGGGGCATAGCCACACCACAATCCCTTCTTCTCCTTTCTCTTCTTGGGATCTCGGGAACACACATGCACCCAGTGTGAGGTTTAAGCTACCAGGTCCAGGACTCAAAATGCAACTGTGTGGGAGTCCAGCGACATAACCATTATGCCATCTGCTGGTCCTGGCAAGCTTTTTAATTTAGATATTATTTTAATTGATAATAATATTTTCTAAAACTTTATTTTATTCCATTTATTATCCTTTTTAAATAAAGCATAAGGGCTTTTGCTCTCTTTTTAGTTTAGTTTTTATTTTTATTATTAACACATTAATTGTGCATATTTTGTAGTACAGTATGATTTTGCAGTACATGAATATAATATGTAATGACCAAATTGGGGTAATTAGTATATCCATCATCTCCAACATTTTTCATTACTTTGTGTTGGGACCATTTAAAGTCCTCACTTTTGGCTATTGTGAAATATGCAATGAATTATTGTTAACTATAGTTAATACCTTACAGCGTCATAGAACATCAAAAAACTGGAATAAGTTCCAGTGCTCTATAGAACTATAGTTGGCAAAACTTTTCTGTAAAGGACTAGGTAGTAAATGCCGTAGGATTTTAGGCCATTCAGTATCTGTTGCAACTATTTCACTCTGCCATGTTAGTGAAACTGGGTGAAAACACTATAGACAAAACAAAGCTTTATTAAAATAGGAAGCTGGTAGGATTTGGCTTGTAGGTCAGAGTTTGCAGATCATTAGTAAAGAGGAGAAAGCACAGAGAAAAGTCAGAGTGAATTCCAGTTTCAGTTTTCCCTTTACATCAAAACGTTCTGATCCTTTAAATTGGATAATTATCATCTTAGGACCTTAAGATAAATAATGTGAAAGTGCTTTGTAAATGTGTAGGTCAAGCAAACAGATAGATCTGCAGTGTTGTTTCCTATAGCCTCAGGAAATGCTTACTTCAGTGGTCTTGCCTCTAGCGTATTTTCTCTTGCGTTGCTGTGGTCATAGGAAAATTGGTCTTAGTGGCCAACATCTACTCATTGCTGACTCCACACCAAAGAAAGAACCAGATCATTCAGGACTTCTTTTATTTTAACCCCATGCATGAGTCAGTTTGCCACATTGAAGAGAGATTCTCAGAGCACCAAGTGGTTTTTTAAGGGCACTGAGGAAAACTTTTGGGAGTCCTTTGCACAAAAATAGCTGGGGCACCTATCTCCTTTCTGGGAAGAAGGCAAAGTTACAGGATAATTTTATACTATATAATGACTTCCTGTGTATTGACACAATAAAGGATTTCAGGCAGGGTCCGGTTAGAGCTAAAGATCATCTTCAATGTGTAAGTTGTCACTGTGGGGTGCTTGGTTGGGGAGAGGGTTTTTCATGAGCCAATCTAATAGCAGACTAATGTCTTACTTAGCCACCACTAAATTTGCAAGACACACTCTATACTGAGAAATATCCACACCCAAAGGGGTAAATGAATGGGGGGGGGGGAAGGCCTGTAATCAGTCTTGTTTTGCTCAATTTTGATTATCTCAAAATCAGCCTTCAAAAGGTTATCTGAAGTCTGCTATTCTTAAGCTATGAATTACGTGTTAAAGATTGTTATCTGATTTCTCAAACACTACCCAGAGAACAAATAAGCCCCATATTTTAGATAAGGAGGCAGATGAGTTCTTAACAGTGTGAAATTAAAAAATTCATAGATAAATAGGCAGTTAGCAGGCAGGCAGACAGCTTTCAAAAGTGTTTCAAGAGAATAAACTTTATTTTTGGTTAACACAATTATTTGGACTAGGTTCTAATAGAAATATAAATTAATAATGATAAGTAAAAATACACTGTAAGAAATTTTTAACAATAAAATAAACATGCTTCAAATTATAACAATAGCTAATTTGTTGACTCATAAGTGGCACTTTGCATAAATGATCTATTCTATGAATTTAGATGTTTAGAAATTTGTATGTTACCTCATGGCAATGAGATCCTATGTTTTAATAAAAAGAGGTTTTATACAGCCTTTGAGGGGAACTGTAGCTGTTTTTCTGTTATTGTTGTTTTTGTTTTGTTTTTTAGGTTTTTGCCATAGGGTGCGTGTGTTCAGTAGAGAGAGACAAAGAAAGAGAAAATGAGAAATCATTCCCCAGGAAGGATGGCCACTCTTTAGTCATCTTGCTTCCATTCGCCTCTTGGGTTTCTAGACATGCATGCACACACACCCAGTCACCTGGTCCAGGATTTGAACCATGGTCAGCCCTGTGGGAGTCCAGCGCCTTAACCATCATACCATCTGCTGACCACAATATAAACCTTTCTTAAACTTTACTATTTTCTCATCACATTCTGTACAGTAACTACAATAGGTAAGGTGAGGTGCTCATCACTTCCATAAGTACTGGTGTGAAATGGAGCTCCTCCTGCCTGTCTGGAAACACGCTCTGCCACCCATACTGAGTTGAGAACACTTTTGACTCTCTTTCTTGCAGACAATTGAATGATCATAAGTTCCCGAAGGCAGACACCAGCTCAAGATGGCTTGTGGTATTGATCACCAACTATGTTGAGTTAAGAAGATAGCATTTTCCTACAGTCTAAGGAGAAAGCAAATACTTGATTGCACCTGTTGTAACCTGCCAAGTGGTTGGGGCTGATGACCATATTAAATAAGCTATGGCATCAGTCGATGTGGAAACCCACAAACTTTTCTCTCATGGAAAAGACAAGAAGGTAGTCTTTAGACCAAGGCAAAGCAACTGTGTGAATAGATAGGAAATGAGGGAAGTTATCAACTAAAGTTACCTTCATCTGCAGAGGCTGCCAGGTGGGAAGGATTGAATAAACTACGATCAGCCTCCAGATGTGGGGAAGTGCTCTCAGGGTTAGTGAGCAGAGGTACCTGAGGCAGGTGCCCTGAGAGCACCACCTGCTCTTCTGTGGTGGTCAAAGAGGAGTCACTACTCTTTCCACCTGAGCTGCAGGTGAAGGCACTGCCAGTGAAGTCCGTGGTATCCTTAGACAGTGGTGTCTCTCCCAGGGAGTCCCCAGGGGACCAGGGTGAAAGGCCCGAGGAAGAGTCGGCATCTTTTCCAAAGTGGTTCTCATTGGTCCCTGCTGTTGACAGCTGGGGGGAACAATCCTCCAGTTCTTGCTGCACATCCTGGGGGTTAATCCAGGCAGCTTTGTGCCTCATGACCCTGATGTCTAATTGGCAAGTGGAGTGGTGAGTGTCCAGAAGGCCCGGCAAACTATTAATGGTACCAGAGTCATGGCTGATACTTTCCCAAGTGTCCACGGGAGAATCTTGCTGACCTATAGACTGGGATACCATTTTCCCAGGCTCAGGGTTGTTGTGAATCCATCCCAAAACAGGTAGGAAGAGTTATGTGATAGTTGTTTGTACTATTTAATTAGAGCCTGAAATTCTTCACATAGCCAGCTGGGAGTCTGGAGAGCTTATCTGCAACAAGCAAGAATAGGTCATGATAAATAAGGACTCAGTCATATTTTAATTTCAACATTTTAGGAAGAGGCAAAGAACAACCATGACAACAAAACATTTAAATCTGTACTTTGCTTTATGTAATACAGTAAATTCCACTTGGATTTACAATTTTTTTAAAAGCAACTGTAAAGCTAGCATCAAATCCAGGGGCTTGGCATTGGTGCAAAGAGTAAAAATAATTGAAGAAGCTATAAAGACTCAACTGGTAAATCACATAAAACTGTAAAATATGCATACATCAAAATTATTCCAATAAAATTAAATATCAAATTCAAAATGGGAACGTTATCTGTAGGATACATTTTCATATTTGTGCTAGCATTTCATATTTGCTCTAGGATTTCATAATTTCATATTCATATTCATTCAGATATTCATAGAGACATGTTTCCACATTTGCCCTAGTATTTCTATAAAGTAGGTAAGTGGTATAAAACAGAACAATCAGTAGCACCAAAAACTTTGCTTCACCTAACTTCTATTATAATATTTATAATATCAGTATAGATTTATTAGTAGTTCATAAAATTTAAAGGACATACTATGAACCTAGAATCTATCTTTAGAATGGTCTACTCACTTTTTTTAAACTTATTTATTTTACATTCATTCACTGAACATCATTACAGCATACAAAATGTGATTTCCTATCCAGAATACACTGCATAGTGGTCTAATCATACATATTATTGTCAACAAATAATTTTCCATTTCTTGTTTCTTAAATATATATTTTCCCCCCTATTTCTCACCCTCTGCCATTTCCCACCCTCCTCCCACCCTGTCTCTGGTATCTATAGTTGCTTTTCATTCCTTTTTTCTTTCCTGCATTTTACTGATCCACAAAATATCTTAATTAAACTAACTACTTCAATAGCAACTTCAGCTGATATATAGTTATCTGTGAACACAAGTCTGGCTTTTGGCATGAAGTTCTGTGAGTAGAATGACTATACTATAAAGTAGCACCTGGCTGAGGATATATAGCTTACTGTGGTCATTAAATAGATATTTTTAAAATAAATTTTTAATTTAAAGAAGGGCAGTTTTAACTTTAATAAGTCAAAATCAAAAAATGTTTAGAGTACTTTGCTTAAGACTTAAAGCCAAGAAATAGGTTGGTATTCTGTCCAAACAGTAGGTACATGAACCTATTGGCAGCTCAAGAGAAGACAAAAATCCCCAAATTTGGAAAATAAAGCATAGAAGAAAATCAGTAATGTTGTAGCCAGAAGTCATAAAATTCTATTTCACCAGTTTGGTCTCATGTACTTTATTTTCTTTTGTGGTCTGATCTTTTCATTTAAGTTCTGGAAGATAATATTGAACTCTGAATTTGTTCCTACCATTAAATTGACTATTTTCTTAGTTGTTTTTGAACTCTTATTTCTGTGTGTCTGTATTTAGTTTTCCTGATGTAGTACTCCCTTCAGAACTTCTTGGAGACCTGATCTGTTGTCAGTAAATTCTTTCAATGTTTTTCTGAGAATGTTCTTGTTTTTTCTTTCCAAATGAAGGATTATTTTGCAGGGTATAGTATTCTTGGCTCAAATTGCTTTTCTATCATTATTTTGAATATATTTTCTCATTCTTCCCTTGCTCACATTATTTCTGATGAGAGGTTTGCTGTTGCCAAACTTAGTAACTTGTCTTTGTCTGTGGTTTTGGTCAATCTGAATATAATGTGTCTTGGAGAAGATCTTGGGTTGATTCTATTTGGAGTCCTTTGTATTTCTTGAGGCTGGATTTTTTTTTTTCTTTTTTTGGAGAGGTTTTTGCTATAGGGCATGTGCACTTGCCAGAAAGACAGAGAGAGACAGAGAGAACAGAAAGTGAGAAATCATTCTCCAGGGGGATGGCCACGCCACAATCCCTTCTCCTCCATTCTCTTCTCAGGATCTTGGGCACACACACATCGCCCAGCATGAGTTTAAGTCACCAGGTTTGGGACTCAAACCCAGGTCGATCACATGGGAATCCAGCGACATAGCCATTACACCAACTGCTGGTCCCGAGTCTGGATCTTTGAATGCCTCTCTAGACTTGAAAAGTTTTCTTCCAGTATTTCATGGAATAGATTATCAATGCCAACCAATAGATTATTGGTCTCTTCACCATGTGGGATACTAATTATCCGAATGTTTGGACATTTAATGATATGTAGTATTTCTCGTATATTATTCTCAATTTGTTTTGGCTATTTTCCTCAGTCTTAGTGGTGGATTTTTCTAGTCCAGTGATTCTGTCTTCTACATCAGAGATTTGATCTTCTGTATGATCTAGCCTGCTTTTAATACTTTAAAGCGAGGTTTTGCTTTCCTGCATTACAACATTCTATCAGTTCTATTTGATTCTTTTTTATGGTGAGTATTTCCTCTTTCAGATCATGCAAGAACTTCCTCACCTCGTGGAACTTGTCAGCTCTTTTCTCCTGCCTCTTCTGGAGTTCATTGTCCCTCTTCTCTTGCATCTCTGTTAGCTTTGTCACTGTGAATTTTCAGAGTTCTTTATCAGACATTTCCACAGGTGCCATTGTACTGTCTGTGGATGAAGAGGAGTTATTCTTTTCCCTTGGGGAAGAGGCATTTTCTTAGTTTCTCATATTTCTTGTGCCTCTGCGGTGATTTCTGGTCATCTGATGGGTTATACGTTTCTTTATAATATCTTGAAGTTCAATCTGAGCATTCAGAGGAGTGCAGGAGGAGGTGACCTGTAAAGTCACTGCCATTCTGTTTTTCTCTTTGTGCCACAGATTCAGTGGGAATTGAAGAATAGTTTGATCCTAATAGTATTCAGGTATTTGATTTTGGCTCATTTAACCCTGTCTAGACACTCAGTGCTTGGAGGAGGAGCAGCAAAGTTGTGAAGGTAAAAGAAAAAGGGAAATAAAACAAAGAAAGAGAAAAATAAAAGAAAAAAATACAAAAAAAAGACCTTACAAAAAAATTTTATTCATTTATTTTAAAATCAAAACATGAAAACCATGCAGCACACTCAGCTCTAATAGAGTCTTTGCCTCTCCTAGATGGAAGGGAGGAGAGGTTAGCAAGAGTAAGGAAGATCTGAAAGCCAAGAAAATACCTTAAAAAATTAAACAAAACAAACAAAAAACAGCGATAGAGAGAAGGATATGGGGGTGGGGGGGAGGCTACCCATTCGTGGATGGGCTTTGGAGAGTGAAGGCTCAGCAAAAAACCTTAATTAGTTTGGTCCCTGAAAGTACTATTTCCAGCTCCAATGGAGTCTCTGCCTACCTAGAATGATCTACTCATTTTAAACTCAGTTTTAAGGTTTATAAATGAGGTGATGATTAAAATGCCTAGAGCTACACAAATGAGAAGAACTTTGTCACTGTAATACGGGCTCAGCAAATGCTGCTTTTTACTGTTCTCCTACTGTCCTTTGCTCTATAAAGCTAAAAGACTGAGCTGCAAAAGCTAAGTCCAGCAAAGGGAAAATCTAGAGATAGAAGTGGTTTATCTAGGCACATCTGGCCTAAATGAAGGATAATACAGCACATGCACCATGGTGAACTTGAGACTTTCAAGTTAATTCCAGAGTTCTGAATTCCATCATGATGTGTATGGACAACTCTCACCTGTATGCCTTTATTTCTGACCTCTTCTGAACTCTAGGCAAGCATACCTTACTAGGCATTTGACTTCTGGCTGGTAGGCATTGCAACCTGCCTGATATGTCCCAAACAGACACTGATTTTCACTAAACCTACTTTTCCCCATCTCAGGAAACACACCTCCCCGTTACTCAAGCCTAAAATTTAGAAGTTTTTCTGATCCTCTCCATCCCCAGGTCACCTCCTATAGGCCATCAGCAAGTTTATAGCAATAGCTACCACCCTAATCAGAGTTACCATCTTCTCCCACTTGGATGTTCATCCATAACTTCCCAATGAGTTGCCCTGTTTCTCTTCTTACCCATCTGTTAATATAATCAACAAGTATTCAGGAAGATTTTTTTTTAAGAGAGAGAAATTTTTGGCTATAGGGTGCATGTGCTCACCAGAGAGACAGAGAGAGAGAAAAAAGGCAAGAAATCATCCCCTAGGGGGCGTGGCCACACTACAATCCCTTCTCCTCTATTCTCCTCTCAGGACTTTGGGCACACATGGACACATACCCAGTGTGAGTTTAAGCTGCCGGGTCGGGGACTCGAACCACAGTCGACTACATGGGAGACCAGCAACAAAACCATTATGCCACCTGCTGGTCCCCAGGAAGATCTTTTATAAACCTAAACCAGATTATGTCATTTCCCTTATCAAAATCTCCAATGGATTCTCATCAAATCCAGAATAACACCTAAACTCCTTACCTTGTCCTGAAGGTCTGACATGATGCTGTCCCTGCAGACCTCTATCACGTATCTTTGTCTGTCTTCAGAGCAAGCTCTTCAATCTTCTAAGCTTTTTCCCACCCAGGGCTCTTTTCTGCTTGTAATGCTTTTCCCCCAAATGATCATGCTTCTGTCTCTTTCCTGTCATTTTTGCCTTGGCTTATGAATTACTTCCTCAAAGAAGTCTTTCCTAATCATGTCTCTTAAGGTAGTTCCTCACTCACTTTTTATCACATCACCCTGGTTAGTTTTCTTCACAGTAGTGCTCACTTCCTGATATTTGCTAGCTCCTTACTGTCAGTCTTCCTAGATCCCACCGTTGCCAGACTATAAGCTCCATGAGGGCAAAAGAGCAGGGCCTTTGTTCTCTGCCAAGTCACATCGCCATACCTAGAGTTGCATACAGGGACTCTAAGAATGTTTACAGAGCAAATCCAATGATGTGAAAATGAAGTCAAGAGTCAGAGAAAAGACACATCTGTGGTAAATAACAACTGTACTACTTATCAGGCAAGATTATTCATGCAGGGATAGAAGTGAATCCATGATTCCTAAAGACTGAAATTTTCTCACCCAGTGTTTATAGTGATAAGATACAAGTTCAAAGAGACCAAAAGAAAGTACATAGGGCAATTATTCTGAGAAGTTTTTGAGCTTTTTAATTTGAGGGTCCTTTATTCTAGGTGATACCTTTTGGAATAGTGCAGATGAAAATTCACACACGGTCTTCAAGAATTCCTAGAAAATTAACATTAGAGTACAAGTTTATTTTGGCATAAAAATAATTTGAAATCTGTGTATTTTTTCAAATATGCATTTTCTATGAACTTTTTGAAGATCTCTGTTGTGAGTATGTATATATATTTTATATACAATAGCATATGTACTAATATATATTAATATAAGCAAATGCATCCTAAAAACATTGCATAAGCCCTAAAACATCATTTACAAAATATCATAGGCAAGGGTTATACTAAAGGCCAGAACTTGTGTCCCCAAAGTGCTTCACCTTTTTTCTTTTGACCTCTAATCCCACTTTGTACTCCAGTTTCTCTTTTTTATACATTTTTTCTTCTCCAATAATTTTGTATTTTATATTACAAAAGGAATCCATGACTATACTTTTATAAAATGCTGAGAACACAGAAGCCTAGACTAGAAAGTAAAAAGCCTCATTGCACTAAGCTCCTCGAGTTCTTTTTCATTTTAAGAAATTACCGTACATACATGAGAAGATGTGTTCTTTTAAATACATACACAAAATCATAGTGGATACATCCCATAATTTAACTCATTTTTCTCTCAACAGTATGTCTTAAGAGCACATCTCATTCTTCTTTAATGTCATCACTTTCTATAGTATAAATTTATCATAATTTATTTAGCAAAACATCTATTGGTGAAAATTTATTCTCAACTTTTCACTTTATAATATATATCTCAATGATCATTTTGGTCATGTCTTTTTTAAAATTGACTGTCTTTTAGCAGTTTCTTTGTCTTACTAGTTCTGATCTTAGTTTGAGTCTACAAGTCCTAGTTTACTCTCAGTTTCCTATACATGATATATCATTTGTGGGAGGGGAGGAGGTGATTATAGATGTGAAACCACATGAAAAATATACAGTCTGAAAAGGTAAGTAATAGTGATCTTAGTGATTTTTATAAACAGATTAAAATCAGTAGTTCCAAGAGAATGGCATTATTTGTGAGCTTCCCATATGCGGAATTGACCTAAATGCTCTGAGTAAAATGAGACTTCCTTATAAAAAGCAATGTTCAGAAGCAAGTGCTTGTTCCACTTCCTTGTAGAAAGATGTTGCTTCATACAAAAAAACAGCAGGTGCTGACCTCGTCAGGTTATAAAATCAGAACATTGGCGAGTTGCGATCGGCCTACAGAGACTTACAACAGATTCAGGTCACAGCTGGGCTGTGTCTGAGAGAGGAAAAATGTCAGTCTGGACACTTGTTAGGGGTCAGGACTGTCTCTGAGAGGCAGATTGTCACGCAGGAGGGAGCAATGATCAGAAATAATCAAAGTCCAGGACCCAGGGACAGAAGATCAACATCTTGGTTTATTTTTCTTTAAGCAGCAGGTAATTCACAAGGTACCATCATACACTTACTGATCCTGTTGTCAGATTGCTTGTAGTATGTTCATTATTCAATTATGAATATTTATGGAACATCTACTATATGGCAAGCATTGTTTTTGCTTTGGTTGCACTGCGGTAACAGAGCAGTGGTGATGAAATAAGCTTCCTGCCCTGCAGAACCTTATATTCTGTGATGGAGAGAGAGTGAATAAACACTCTTATCTTTCCAACACACTTCCCACTGTCATCTCTTCGAATCAGAGATGCTTGAATACAAAGATAAAATCAAAAACTTTTTTTTATTATTATTTTTATTTTATTTTATTTATTTTTTTATTTTTGCTAGAGGACATGTGTACTTGCTAGAGAGAGAGGGAAGAGAGAAAACACTCTTCCATGGAGAATGGTCACACTGCAAGCCCTTGTCCTCCATCTCTCCCTCTTTGGGATTTTGGCCTACATGCACAAACACCCAGTGTGTTTCTCAAGCCGCCAGGGTCAGGACTCAAACTGCATGGTTGGCCACGTGGGATACAGTTGCCTTAACTACCAAACCATGGAGGCAGCCCTAAAAACATTTTGAAGAAAAAATAAACCGAATTTCAAAGCTTATCATCACTCCCACTGATATTTTCATACTGGGATCAAAATGTATGCATACACCAATTACTAGTTAACATACATTGCGGAAGCCAATGCCCTAGGCAGAGGATAGACTCCAAGACTGGCCTAGTGATGTCATTCCGGCTTATTCTAACTCAGAGTTAGTGGCCCTGACAAATGACTACAGCACTAGAGTCACTGCAAAGTTACACTATTAACTGTAAAAACACAACCTTGTCAAGATGGATCAATGCCTCAGTTGGGCAGGAGCCACCATAACCACTATAGTGACCTCACGAAAGTCTTTCAGGCCACAGGCAGCCAGCTTTAGCTCTTAACACCCCTAACAATTTTAAAGTTTCTCACTGAGTACGTAGCTAGGGCTCTGGCGTAAGGAACCATCTTACATGGCAGCTTCTCAGTGAGGCCTCCTAGCCATCCTATAAAAAATGAAAACCACCCCTTCACACACAGTCCCTTCCTTCCTTCTCAGACCTATTTCTTTCCTATTCACAATTGTCCACTTATTTAACCTCAATTATTAGCACCCACTAGAATGTTTTTTTTTAAAAGGATTTATATTTGATACTGTTTTGTCCCCAGAAACTAAAACAGTAGCAAAAATAGTGTTTAATAAATATTTTTGAGTATATGAATGAAAGAATGAAAAACTACAAATAGTACCTAAGTAGCATTATGTTGTTTATTTCTGTTGCCAAAGCAATTAAGTCTAGAAGAAATTAGAACTTTCTTAATCCTAAGAAATGAAATGAAACCTAAGCTGTTTGCCAACCATTTCTTCAGAAGAAAGGATATTAAAAAACAGCAAAAACAAGAGTTGAGGGTGAGAGGTAAGATACTTTTTTTTAAAATGTGTTTTATGTTGTCTAACTAAGCACACCCAGTAATAAACCAATGCAAGTGAGCAGGGAGTGGATAAATCCTTAACTGTAGCGTGTGAGCTGTTTGGTTACACAGTTCCCCAGAACCTCTTCCCATATCTTCCAGTATCTACTTCCCTTCATGTTTTAACTTTAAACAAAGATTCACATCTGCAAGGCTGTCAACAGACCCTAAAACTGTACATGTCAAACAAAAACCATTAAGAAACCCAATGATTTGACTCCACATCTTCTATGACAGTGGCCAGGAAGAGTAAGCTGCAATTTTCCTGTGGTTGCACCTTCACCACAACATGTACTGAACACCATGTTGTAATAAAGCATCAGGAAGGAAAAGTGTCATCTCACACTGATGGCTGGGTGATGTCAGATGACTCTTCTCCAACTGATTTAGCCTTCAGCAGACCCTTAATTTAGAAGGTTTGTTGTGAGAAGAACACAGGGGAAGGAAAGGAAGCAATGAAAGGAAATTGCTAGGGAGGAGTAAGAAGGGAAAGACCCAATGAGGCAAAGATCAGGGAAAATTAGATATTTGCCTAAAAGATCTTCAGAGTTGCCCCAACATCCAAATGACTAACTTCCTATGGTCATCTCATATGTCACATCCTACACAATAATAACTGGCAATATTTCAGGTGTTACTATGCTCATTTAAGAGCAGAAATGGAAACCACTAAGGGACTTGCCTGAAGTCTCACCATTAGTAATGAGCAGAAGTAGGACAAAAACAAGTCTTACAAATGATTCACAGTTCTTTCCACTGGTATTCACATGTTTCAGGTGGGCTGAAATTAGCAGGATAATTTTAATTTATTTCTCTTTCTTTCTTTCTTTCTTTCTTTCTTTCTTTCTTTCTTTCTTTCTTTCTTTCTTTCTTTCTTTTTTCCTTTGGTATATAAACTATTTATTAACAGACAAGGCCCACAGACTTATTTCTTTTTGGACACATCCACGGTACAGCCACAATGGCCAGTTGTCTTGGTGTGCTGGCCTCGGAGCCAAAGGCCCCAGAAGTGGCACAGTCCTCTATGGGCCTGTATCTTCTTCAGTTTCTCCAGGGCTTCATGCAACTTGTTGTCCAGACAACTGGCCAGGACCTGGCTGTATTTTCCATCCCTTATATCTTTCTGCCTGTTCAAGAACTGGTCTGGGATCTTGTACTACCGTGGATTCTGAATAACAGTGATCGCATGTTCCACCTCATCCTCAATGAGCTCTCCTGCCCTCTTGGTGAGGTACAGCTCTGCTTTCCTCAACACCACATGAGAGTGTCTTCACCCTACACCCTAGTAGCAGTGATGGCAAAGGCTATTTCCTGCCGCCTGTGGATGTTGGTGTTGAGTACTTTGAGTACTCACAAAAGGTGCTGGAACTTCTCAGGGATCACTAGAGAAATGGTGGTGGCACAAGTGGCGGCATGTAGGCCTCTTGTGAAAGAACTAATTTCATTATAAAAGTAATTTTAAGTATTTTCTTATCAGATTTTTCATAGAACAAAGGATTTAGAACCAAACAACTGGGACCAGCCAGTGATATAGTGGTTAAGGCACTGGACTCCCATGTGGTCAACAACAGTTCAAGCCCTATCTCTGCAGTTTGAAACTCATGCTGGACAAATGTGCATGTGTGCCCAAAATCTCAAGAGGAGAATGGAGGCAAAGGGACTGTGGTATGTCCATGCCCATGCCCTCAAGGGGAGAGGATGATTTCCTGCTTTCTGTCTCTCTGGCATTACACATGCCTTATAGTAAAAATCTGTCTTAAAAACAAAAGAAAAAAGAACCACACACTGAGCTAGCCAGTAGCATGGTGGTTAAGGTGGCTGGATTCCACATGGCTGAGTGATTAGAGTCCTGTTTCTCAAGTGGCAACTTGAGAAACATGCCAGGTGCATATGTGTATATGCCCAAACTACCAAGAAGAGAATGGAGGAGAAGAAATGCAGTGTGGACATCCCCACTGGGGGTGTTTCTCACTTTCTTCCTCTTTGTCTGTCTCTCTCCAGTGAATGCATGTACCATATAGCAAAAAAAATAAATAAATAAATAAAAACACACAAACTTACA